ATGTCCACTGGATTGACCACCACCAGGTCAGCCACACACTACACTGGTCTATATCATAATATTGCTATAATTGATGTCCACTGGATTGACCACCACCAGGTCAAATCAATCAACCTACTAATAAGTGTATCAGTCAGTTAGTTAATCCACATGTCAATCAATCAACCAACGAGCCAATCAAACCACCAAAAAATCGTCATGGTCCAATCATCAAAATATACATTATTCAGACCTCAGATCCATCAGTCGTATGAAACACTAAAAGCATACCTCGCTTGGATGGTGGTTTGTGAATAGCATTCTTGGAGTAGTCCACCCTGAAAATCAAAACATTGATTGATAAATTACTGAATGTTTGTATTAGAGAAAAGGGGGACAACTTAAAGGATACATACTTGAGCTTTTTCCCTCCAAATATGACACTGTTGTATTGTAAAGCAGTTAGGACAGATGATGACTCAGTAAATTCAACGTAGGCACACCTGAAACATGACCATAATACATGTTAAGCACCAGGTTTGGGTAAAGTTCATGTAAATCCATGATAAATTAGGAAAGGTTTGTACTCTTCCAAAAGATTAACATTCCATAAGTTCCCTGGAATTGTTCTTGCCTTTCAAATGGCTATTCTACACTTTCAACCATTTTGTGCAGCATATTATTTATGCATACTACAGTACATGTAGGTGCGATATAATATATGTAGAAAATATGACCTGATTTCAGGGATATCTTCTGTCATTTGTTCCTTGCTCCTTAGTTTATACCTTGGAGTGTCATTTCTGATAGCAACGAAAAAGTGACAGAATATGACCCCTGGGTTCCAGAAGATAAAAATTCCATTTCATTCCAAGTTTTAAAGGGCCTAGTTTTGATAACTTACTTATTCTCAGTTTCTTCATTCTCAAGTAATCGAATAAACTTTATTTCTCCACATGATGAAAAGAAAGACAGGATTTGCTCTGCTGTAATCTGAAATTATATCAAAAAAAAAAATTATCATCCATTTCAGTAATACATTGTTTTATTTTGGTTTTGGTGATATCTTCTTGCAAGAGAGGCTGCTGGCAGAATATTGTATTTACCAGCAAATTAGCAGAACTACTTTGAACAGGAAAAAAAGGGGAAAAAACATTGTGAGAAATGACACACAAAAAACACACATGATGTCAAGTAGCTGCATTGCAGGCATAGTCTGGTCTGGTTATCTTTGTATTTACAACATGGCTTGAAAACTTACCGACTTATCAACATTGTTAACAAACACAGTTCTTCTGATCTCATCAATCTTCTTTGAGTCTGTCTCAGGCAGGATTGGTGCTTGTGGCATGCATGCTGGYACTGTTATGGTTGTACCACATGTTGTTAGGATCTAAAAATGCATATCATTAGCATCATTATTATTATCAGAATCATTATAGAGTACAAGTAACCAATACAGACTAAAATTATACAAGTATTATCAAAAAAGAACTTCTTTATGAATCATCTCATGTATACAATGTATATAATGAAACGTTATAATGGCATTATGGTGAATTGCGTTAAATTGTGGTCACACTGCCTGGAAACTATTTATGCTTGCTCAATAATTAATTATTATTATTAATTAAAAGAGGTAAATTCATTTTCATTAAAAATAATATTGTACCTGAGGTGCAATATGAGGCAAAGGAATCAAAGATCCTTCTGTAGGTGTTTCACCAACTTGTTCTGCAGTAGCAACTGAATCTATAAAAATAACAAAATACTTGTAAATAACAATGACAGTTTTGAACATTTTATGATCTCAAGAGTGCTTTATAAGAGGACAAAGAATTAAAAAACAGCAATTTGTTTATTACAACAAGTAATTCTTTTCTTTCAACTAAGCATTCGCAAGATGTGATGGTGTCTCCACAGCTTGCATATCCTCTTATTAATACACTCTTATCAGCCAATCAGTGAACAAGTGTGGTAAAGATTGCTATTCATATTGACACAGGAAGCCCATACATGTGATTTGTGATTGTCTGGTTGGTTTAATTATAACACTGCCAGATTTCAAACTGTGGGGATCTGGGTAAAATATCCCTAATTGGATAATCATGACATAAGACTTACATAGAATGAAAGACCTTGTTGAGAAATGCAAAATTCCAAAATTTGGTGTCCGTCAGCTCAACAGTGAACAAGTTACAGCCTTTCAAATATTCCAAAATTTCCATAGAAATTCTAAAATTTCCAAAGGCTGCGAAAATGTGTTTGCATTCTGACCATTTTCATTTGCGAGATCACATACATTTCTTTGGAAATTATTTGAAAGGCTGTCACTCGTTCACTATTGAACTAATTTACATCAAATTTTAGAATTTTGCATTTCTCTCTCAACAAGGGCTTTCTTTCTATGTAAGTCATATGTCATAATTATTTAATTAAATGTAGGGGATTTTTCGCAGTTCCCAACAGTTTGAAATCCGGCAATGAGACCTTGTGCTGACTACAGAGAATCTAACCTACCTTCAGGAATAGGTATAACAATAAGATGTTTATCAATGAAGACTGTGTTTGTAAGATGTTGAGCAATGTCTACACTTGAAGCCTCTTTAAACTTGACAAAACACACCCGTGATTGGACTGGAATTGCAGAGTATCTGTTAACAAAATCAACATTAGTGTTTCCAATCAAATGATATATTGTAGAGGGTTTCCAAGTTCCACAATTCAACCGGCGCCGGCGCGCTGTTGTTACTCACTCGGGAAAGAGTTTCAAGTCTTCAATCTCTCCAAGATAGCTAAACAACGTCTTCATTTGGTCCGTTGTAGCATTAGGAGCCACATTTGCTACCTGAATGATTTTTGTGACGAAAGTATCGTCTCCAGCCGTCATTTTGGCAGCCGAAAATCACAAAATACAACTTTCTTTATAAAATTGCTCGTGCTCTTGCTCCGCAGTCTACTGCGCATGATTACACAGGCACCCCAAGACAAAAAGTTCCAAAACAATACTGATTTATCAAATACAGTATAAAACTAAACCCCAAAGAAATACTAGCAACAAAATTCCGGATAAAGGGTAGAAGTCTCTGATGATTGTAAACAGAGCGATGAAAGACCATGATTATTAAAATTATTTCAAAACTAATCACTGGGGTTCCTGTGTCTTTTTAATTAATCTGCTGTCCACAAGTCAACAGGCTCATACTCTCATATGTTGAATCGTTTGTATTATATAATTTGTAAGTCTTAAATGGAATTTCCCAGTGATTTTTCCAATGTGCTCCATATATAGGAGTTTAGCTCTGACAAGGAATCTGAGGCCGCTTGGAAAGCTTTTTGTGCCTGCATTTGAGAATGTAAGGTCACGTTTTATTCAACTCTCAAGAGGTATAACTTGTGAAGACCGCAACAATCCCTCCACACTTTGCAGCCTAGGTCGTGTGGTAATAATCCAAGTGCTCTGTCTTTTCTTTAGGTCCGTTGCTACATGGCGAATACGAATTTAAAGACCCAAAATCTCCAGATGAAGTGTAAGAAAAGGGATTAAAAATCATAGTTGATGATGACATCATTTGATGATGTAATCACGTTAATAATCCCTGATGGTTATTATTACAGGGTAAATATAACATATATAGATGCTAAAGGAGAGAGACATGATGTTAAAGGAAAAGTTGGTGATAATGTTATGTACTTGGCTCATCGATACAATATCCCAATAGAAGGTATTTAAGCTAAACTTATGAACAATTTGCAAAGTGTGTGAGTGATATTTTGATTTTTGTGGCCTTATGCGTAACTAAGCGTGAAGAGGCGAGGTGAGGTGCGGTGAGATATGAGTGATTTAGAAGTTTTTTTAATGACTAATTATGATTTACTAACACATTTAGTTTATTAATCAATTTATTTATTGATTAGTTTTCATTATTATTGATTGACATTACACTGATCATCACCATCATCATATTCACCAATGTTATGTTCACCAGGTGCTTGTGAAGCATCGTTGGCCTGCTCTACATGTCATGTCTATGTCAAGGAGGAATATTTCGACAAGTTAGATGAACCTGATGAAAAGTAATTATTTGAAATCATTGGCATAATGTGAAGTTGTGAATTGCCTACAAAGCTGCATGAAGAATGATGAGAGGAGACTTTCCCTTACTGTCTTTTCCTCTATTCTTCCACCAGTATTTCACTAGGAATTGTATGCTTTGTGGACTAGTTTGTGTCGCGTCCTTGGTGTTTGTTTACATGGTCCTTGATTTGGTGAAGTGTATTGATACATTAAATGGCCACAAACAAAACTAAAAATCAGAGTGTGGTCAATATGCAATAGACCTTTCTTCAAAGTGTTTTTTTTTTTAGCCTGAGACAAAATGACAACACTACATAATATATGTGCTTCAGTTGCTATGTAAAAAAAATCTATCAAATATGAACAAAAAGCCACACAAATATGAATTATTTGAAATTGTCTAATTTTACAGAGAAATTTCTGGGGCACAAACATACCTTTCATTTCATTCATGGTCATTTTTGGCTCAGAACAAAAATATTATGCAAATAAGCAGCTCTAGACCAAGCAACATGATTTCAGTTGATACTTTAGCCAATTCAATACTGCATTTCACCAGGGAATGCAAGCTGTCATCAGGGGTTGGCCATTCACATAATGACATATTAAAATTACTGATGCTTATTGTTTTCCAGAGAGGATGATATGCTTGACATGGCTCCATTCTTGCAGGAGAATTCGAGACTAGGTATGTATACCTTATGTACAAACATTGTTATTGACAATAGACCATACATCTAGGATGCTATGCTTGTTTCCAATGTGTCAATCACGGGAGCTGATGAGCAAAACCAAAAATATACTTTCTAGTCCCTGATTCATTGTTCATTTGATTTGGTTGATTTATTTTAATGTATTTTTGATGTTATTTCAGGCTGTCAAATAATTCTCAGTAAAGATTTAGAAGGGCTTGAAGTTACTCTTCCAAAAGCAACAAGAAACTTTTATGTTGATGGACATGTTCCTCAGCCACATTAACCGTGGACACAGGAAGCCCAGAAATGTAGACAGATAAATATTATACTTGTATATTTGGAATCAACTAATGTGTATTTTTTGTTGTACAAAAGTGCTCATGACACAAAATGTTTGATTTTGAAAATAGTATTTATTTAATATGAAGTGAATACTGTAAAACTGGGTGCAGTCTTCGTACTTAAGAGAAAATTTATTATGCATCAAGAATAGTACTATTATAAGTAACTATAACACATTCAAAAGGAGAAAACTGCTAGAAAGGACCACAAAAGCTATTTAATCATTAGATTAGCATATTGTGAGGTCTACGAACTTATAAGGGATCTAAAGGCTTTTAAGCCTTAAAAGACCCTTTTGATGACAGAAGAGTACATAGGCTGTTTACAAGTAGAGACATCAGCTTCAAAATCTCATCTCATGTACTATTAGCAACATAAATTATAGAGAGTTTTAGATTCACGTTTACTGCAAATGCAAGTGTCAAATTTGCTTGTTATGCTTTGTCTCAAAATTTCAAACAAATGTAAAAACGCTTCAAAAGGAATAGTGATGTGCTTATGTATGAAAAAGTGATCTATTTTATACACAATCACAAAAGAACGGAGCGTTAAAACAGAAAAACAGTGATCACGTGATCAGTTTTGACGTTTGGCGTTTGGCGTAAACACTCTCTAATAATGATTTGCATCACACTTACCTTAAGGCAATGGCATGCAAAGGTATAGAGTTTAATTGTTTCTGAAAGCAACTTGACGTCACTGACTTTGTTACAGAGACCTGAAACACACAATCCATGGATTTGAAAGAGAATAAATGCTGAAAGTGAGAATGCATTGTCTGCTAACTATCAAAGTCAATTTATGGGTTTAAGACCCCTTTTCAGCTACAACATTTCCTATGCAAATTTATTTTCACACTGATTGAGGTTGATGATGATACCAGACTGTAATCTTCAAATTCCCAAAAGAGGTGCTTGCTTTCTTCACCCATTTTTTATTCATGAGAAAGTTCTCTTAGGGACAGTCCATTTGATTTTTCATGGGGGGAGGGGGGGGGGGGGTAAGTTAAATCCCCCAAAAAATATCGAGCAAGCTCTTCAACCTAAAAGAAAATATCTTGCTGCATCAATATGTCCATAAAAATATCGAGCATGGGTAGTACCGACTTTTTTTTAGAACCAAATGAAATATTCAACTCTTCCAGTCTCAGTCTTCGTAGCAGGAGATGTCCCTCAAAATGCTGAAAATCATGTGTCTTAGAGAGTTATTTAGAGAGTTATTTATTTAGTTATTTCAAAATTTTCTGGGGGAGGACCCCCAAACCCCCCTTATTACGGTAGCACCAACTTTTTTTAAACCAAAATGAAATATTCAATTCTTCCACCCTAGGAGGTGGAAAAAGAAATATTCACGATTACAATTTCACATAAATTTGATGCTTTTTATATGCTCTCGATGCCCCTCAAAATGCTGAMAATCTTAGRGTTCTTATGCCAAGATTTTCTGGGGGAGGACCACCATACCCCCTTATTACTCCGGCCTTTGGCCTCCGTTACACCCCTCCATCAAAAATATGTATCACACTAACCCCGCCTGTCTTCGCTTATCCAACTTTCAAATTAAACTTTAGATGTGTAGTTATGTAATAACAATGCAACATATAGAGTTATAAAGCAGCAGGGAAGTTAACCCACCCCCTACAAATGGTCCGTCCGCAGTGACAAATTAGTGACAAATTACACAGTAAAAAAAATATCGTGCAAGAAGTTGGTACAACGAAAAAATATCCTGCAGTACTGGAGGGCGAAAAAAAAATTTCGAGCACGATTAAAATCTACCCATCCCCCCATGAAAAATCAAATGGTTCGTCCCTTATTAGGTTTTCCTTTCTTTTCAGTGGACTTCATGTTGATGATGATGTTGTAACTATTACTACCTCCTGTGTTATATTTTACAAGTCTATGTCAACATAAAAAGTGTGTAAAATCTCACTGAGTATGTTACAGTTTGCAGTGTAAGATTTCGTGACACTGTTTACGTAATGCACAGGACTGCGTGACAGCTTCCAGGGGCCCTGGGTTTGAGATGACGTCACATATTACTAATCCAAAATGGCGGTCGTGATGGAGGGACCACTCTCGAAGTGGACGAATGTTGTGAAAGGCTGGCAGTATAGATGGTTTGTCCTGGACGACAACACCGGTCTATTGTCCTATTACACTGTGAGTTTGTCTTTGTGTTCGTTTAGTGGAATTGTAGGATAGTTAAATTTGGGATGTGTGATGTGGCATTTTAGAAGTCACTTTTTCCATGAACGATGCGCAGTTTGTAAGAATTTTTAGCAGACATTTCTCAGTTTTTTGGTTTATTTTAAAGTATAATATGTATATCGTGCTTAAGAATATAATTTGTTACTCGTGTCTTTTCAGGAAAAAAACAATTTTTATGATTATTCATCGGGCCTCACTTGGGTGAAAATGTCTGACCTCTTTAACCCGGACACCCAGTTAATCCGAACTCTTTCAAGTAACATTAAAAATTAAAAATAGCATCCTAACAGCTACTTCGTTTTTCAGTCCAAAGAGAAAATGATGAGAGGTGCTAGAAGAGGTTGTCTGCGATTGAAGGCTAGTAAAGTTGACTGTAATTATGACATGGCATTGTTTTTAGTCATAATATTTGAGATATCTACTCATAGGTCATTATCACTATTATTATTGCTATTGTTGTTGTTGTTGTTGTTGTTGTTGTTGTTGTTGTTGTTATTGTTGTTGTTGTTTTGTTGTTATTATTATAATTCATAACTTGTAGTTCCAACTGTGTTTCAGGGGGCTAATCTAGGTATTGATGATGAGGATGATAGTACGTTTACAATCAGCTGTGACCAGAAAACATTTCATTTCCAAGGTATACACATAATGTCCTACTAATCTCAGGTTCTGGTTGGAAGGTCTGTTGGGCGAAAGATAATACCTGGGCAACAAACAATGTCTGGACAAAATTTTACTTATCAAATCTTTGAGTGAAGCTTTTAATCAGTCAACTTTGAACTACATGTATGCAGATGCCATATGACATGCTGAGATAAATGATACATAACTGTACAGACAAGGCACTATTGACCCTAGGGACTGTACAGACAAGGCACTATAGACCCTAGGGACTGTACAGACAAGGCACT